AATAGATAGGTCAGTGGTTTCCAGGTGGTAGCATTAAAAGAGAAGAGACTTTTTGTAAACATTTAGATTAGTTGATAATGTTTGAAAATGGGAAACTCTAACATTAAAAAGTAGATTTTGAGCTTTTTGAAAAATCTTATCTGATAATACTGAACCTGAAATTGTAGGTAGCTGTTGTGACTGGAGCTGAGGCTGTCGATCCTCTTGCTGGGCAAATAGTCCACTTCAGTTATTTCTTTCCTCTCTCCCACCCTTATGTCCTTCCTTCATGCTCCCCACCCCACCCCCCATCTTCGTCCATTTAATTTTAAAGAAATTTATTTCTGCATGTTAGGAAGTCCAAGGTTGAGGAGCTAAATATTAATAACTGAATCATATTTCATTGTATAGATACGCCACATGTTGTTTAATTGTCAACTGATAGACATTTGGGTTTCCACTTCCTTGGCTTTTAAAGTTAATGCTGCATTGAATACTAATTTGAAGGTTTTTTTATGTTTTTAGGTCTTTTGGGTATATGTGTAGTAGGGGAAATAGTGATTCCTATGGTTCCTCTTTTTCCACATCTACACCACTACTTACTGTCTTTTTGATTATATCCATCCTACTGGGTGTGAAATAATGCATCACTGGTTTTGATTTACATTTCATTGATGACAGATATATGGAGAATCTTCTCAAGTGCTAAACTTGGCCACTTGTGAATCTCTTTTGGTGAAATTTCAGTTGAAATCCTTTGCCTATCTTATGATTGGATTGTCTCATTATTATTTAGTTATAATTACATATTCTGGATACTGGATCCTTATCAGATGCATAATTTGTAAATATTTTCTCCCATTCCATGAGTTGCCTTTTATACTATCTGGATAATGTCCTTTGACGAACAAAAATTTTAATTTTGATGAAGTCTGTTTTATTTTTTTTTTTTTTGTTGCCTAATCTGAGGTCAACAAGATAAACACATTGGTTCCCTTGTGAGACCTTTATTAAATTAGCTCTTACATTTAGGACTTTGATATAATTTGACTTAGTCTTTGTGTATTGTGAATCATGTGAAAAATGGGTCCAACTTCATGCTTTGGCATGTGAATATCCAGTCATAAAGCACCATTTGTTAGAGACTATTCCTCATTGAATTGTCTTGGTACATTTTTCAAAAATCAGTTGAGCATACATATTCAGGATTATTTCTGGACTACTGAGTTCTATTCCATTGATGTCTTTCCTGTGCCATTTTGACACCATTTTGATATATAGTTTTGTAATAAGCTGTGAAGCTAGGAAGTATGAGCCCTCCAACTTTTCTTTATCCATATCGTTTTGGCTACTCAGGGCCTATTGTAGTTCCCTAGGAATTTGAGGACCAACTTTTTCAGTTCTCCAAAAAGAGACCGTTGGAATTTTGATAAGAGATCACATTTAATCTACAGATCACTTTGGGAGTATGGCTGTCTTAAAAATGTTTTCCCATTCATAAACATGGGATATCTTTCTGTATTTTTAAGTCTACTTTAATTCAACAGTATTTTGTAGTTTTCACATGCAAGTTTTTCATTTATTTTAGTCTATTTCTAAGTACTTACTCTCTTTAGTGCTATTGTAACTGGAATTGATTTCTTAATTCAATTTCCACATTGCTCATTGTTAATATATGGAAATACAACTGATTAAAAATGAATATAAAACAAGTAAGTATGATGTTAATTTTAGATGTTTCATAGATGCCATTCTGTTAACTTGAGGATCTTCCCTTCTGTTTATTATCTTTTGAATATTAAAGTGAGTTGAATTTTGGGACATGTATTTTTGGTTTCTATTGAGATGATTATATGGTTTTTGTTCTTTGTTCTATTAATGTGTTTTATTATATTGATTTTTTTACATTGATTGAATTTTATATAGAATTTTCTTTGCTTTTGTTGAATATATCTCACATGTTCGTGGTGTTTAATCTCATTTCTTTTTACATCTGTTTTTATAAAGGATATTGATCTACAGTTTTTTTTCCCTTGTGATGTCTTTGTCTAGTTTTTATATCACAATAACACTGGATTCAGAATGAATTGAGAAGTGTTTCTTTTATATTTCTGTAACAATTTTGTTAATTCTTTAACTTTTTGAAGATCTCTGATCCAGAGCTTAAGGTTTTTCATTTCTAATTAAATCTGCTTTTTTTCTTTTTTTTTTTTTTCAGGTCTGTTAGTTTCTTAGTGTAGTTATTTGTGTCTTCTCTTCTTCTTGTTTATTTATTTTTGGTGGTACTGGAGTTTGAACTTAGGGTCTCATACTTGTCGAGCAGGTGCTCTACCACTTGAGCCATACCTCCAGCTCTGTCTTCTTTTCTTAAGTTTTGTTAATCTTTTCCAAGAGCAGTTTTTGTTTCATTGATGTTTTTTTGTTTGTTTTTTGTGGTAATTCTATTTTCTAATCAGTTTCTTTCCATTTAATTCTGTATTGTTTCTTTAGTTTGCTTTGGGCTTAAGTTCTTTTTCTACTGTATTAAGATGGAAATTGATTCTGGGATTTTTTTTCTTTTCCTTGACAGTACTAGGTTTGAACTCGGGGCTTCATGCTTGCTAGGCAAGTGCTACACTACTTGAGCCATACTAACCCCAGTCTGTTTTACTTTAATTTTTAAGCTTTTGCTCTGGCTGACTTCAGACCATGATCTTCCTACCTACATCTCCCAAGTAGCTAGAATTATAGGTGTGTACCACCATGCACAGCCCTCTTATCCTCCTTTGATCCCTCCCTCTCTCCCCTTCTTGGTGATATAGGAGTTTGAACTCAGGGCTTCTGCTTTCTAGGCAGGTGCTCTACCACTTCAGTCACTCCTCCAGCCTCTTTCATGTGTGTGTGTGTGTGTGTTTAATATAGACATTTATAGTTACAGATTTCATCTCTACTTTGGATGAATCCATTAAATTTTGGTTTTGTTTATCTCTGACTTCCCTCATGACTTCTTTTTGACATACCCATTCTTTTTGAATATGAGGTTTAATTTGTATGTATTTGTGAATTTTCCAATTTCATTGTACTCTTGGGAGGGGAAACACACATTGGGTGATTTTTGGTGTATTTATTGAGACTTGTTTTCTTGCCTAGTATATGGTCTGTTCTGGAAAATGTTTTGCATGTATTTGAAAATAATATGTATTCTGTTCAGAGGTTGGATGCTTTTATATGTCTATTAAGTGTAGTCGTAGGGCTGGAGGCATGATTCAAGTGGTAGAGTGACTGCCTAGTGAAAGTGAGGCCCTGAGTTCAACCCCAGTACACCCCCCCCTAAAAAAAGTAGCTTTACTTTTATTTATTTATTCATTTTTGAAACATTCTCACTGTGTAGCCCAGGCTAGCCTTGAACTTACTATGTAGCCTACTCACACCTTGAACTTGCATTCTTCTTGCCTTAGCTTCCTGGGTGCAGGGATTATAGGCATATACAACTATACCCAGCTCAAATCCAGTAGTTTTGTAGTGTTGTCCAGATCTTCAGTTTCTTCACTTTTTCTGTCCTGTCTGTTATTAAAAATGGTACATTGAAGTCTAACTCTTATATTTGTATTACTGGATTTTTTCTTAAGTCTTCTCAGTTTTTGCTTCATGTGTTTTAAGACTATTGTTTAGGAGCATAAATGTATATAAATTCTGTATCTTGTTGGTGTGTGTGCCGTTTTTTATTATAAAATTCCCATTGTCAATAAATAACAAATGTTTTATTATAACCTATTTAGTCTGATAATTAATATAGTCATTCTAGCTCTCTTTCAGCAACCATTTGCATAGTATATCTTTTTCCATCCTTTTACTTACATCCTATTTTGTATTTGCATCTACAATCTGTCAGTTATAGACAACAGATAGATGGTTGTTTTAAAAAATTTATTGTGCTAATCTCTGCCCTTTTCAGGGGAGGCGGTACTGGGGTTTGAACTCAGGGCCTTGCACTTGTTTGGTAGGTGTCACTTGAGCCATGGACCCATCCCTTTTTGCTTGTATTTATGCCCCAGTCATCCTGGACCATGGTCCTCCTATTTACACTTCCTGAATAGTTGGGATGACTGACGTGCACCATCATGCCCAATTTTTATTGGTTGAGATGGGGGGAATCTCATGAAATTTTTCCCTGGGTTGCCTTGAACTACAGTCTTTCCAGTTTCTACTTCCTGAGTAGCTAGGATTACAGGCTTGTACAGGCTTAATCTTTGCCTTTTTGTTATTCTGTTTATATTTAATGCAATTGCCCATAAATTCGTTTATATCTGCCATTTTCTATGTGTTCTACATGCATTGTGTCTTCTTGTTCTTGTATTTTGCCATTACTGCCTTTTGTATTAAATAAACATTTTCTGGTGTACTATTTTAATTCTTATTATTTGCTATTTTTTACTTGTGGTTGACCTTGGGATTACAGTTAACATCTTTAAAACTCATCGACAATGTAGTTTGGGTAACACCAATGTAATTCTGGTAGTATACAAACACTTTTCTTTTATATAGTTGTCTTTCCTGTTTCTTTTGTGTAATTATTGTTATACAAGTTTTATCATTATATACTACATGTCCAGCATACAGTCCTTCATGCAATTTTCTTTAAACCAATGTATTAATTTGCTATTGCTATTTACGTAGAAAAGAATTAATGTTACAGGCCAGGCTACTTATCCTTAAAAAGGACTGCTTTCAAAGTTAGCCTTTGGCTGGCACTTGTGCACTTAGATTTTACCTTCCTGACTGTTAACTGTGGTAATGGCTCATTGTATCTAAGCTACTTGTAGAAACACTGTGATTTAGGCTGAACACCTGCTTTTCTTCTGGGAGTCTGAAATTTTGGTGTGTTAGGGAAAGGTGTTACATACCAGTTTCCAATATAAAGTAAAAACATGTAAAATGTTTATGATGTAGTATCTCTCATTCATGTTACTTACACTAATTTTCTTTTTTATGGCTGCCTCTTAACGGTTCTTTTTATTTGTTTTGTCTTTCTATCTTCTAAGGCAATAAAGAATGCTGATGGGAGAACCATTATCCTAATTACCAAGTTGTAGAGCTCATTGCCATGATGGGTGAGTTCAAACCAAAAACATTTTCCAGTTATCATTAAAGAATAGGATGAGGAAGAAAAAAATTATCTCTATGTGTTATGATAAACTTTTTTTATATGGATAATTTATGGTATAGCAGATTTATGTATTGTTTAGATATATTTGCTAAATAAATTTTCAATTAAAGCACTTTTATGTAAATTATTACAGTTTCAGAATGACCATTTTCTGCAGAACACAGGGACATTCAAAATAAATTGTTTAGATGTACTGTGATTGGTTTAGAGTCTAACGACCAGAGCAAAATAAATCATAATGTTTTACAGCTAAGTAGAGCAACAAATCACTGATGCTCAGGGATATGTTTAACAACTCTTAATGAAAATCCTGTGATATAATATGTTTAATTTAAAGGGAGATTGACATATAGGAATGGATTATGGGTATTCAATTTATAGATCTGTTTGCTTTCCTCTTTACCACCCCCACCTTTTCTCCTTAGTGTTAGGGTTCTATCCTGTGGAAGGGATTAGACAGGGAGACACTAGGAAAAAATGGAGCCTATGGACCTGCCCTATCCTGAATAGGGAAAAGTGGACTGAGATGTTAGATGCTGAGTTTGCTTTGGTTTTTTTTTTTTTTTGGTACTGGGGCTTGAATTTAAGGCCCATCCCTTGAGCCCCTCCACCAGCTTTTTTTTTTCATTTTTCTTTTATTATTCATATGTGCATACAAGGCTTGGTTCATTTCTCCCCCCTGCCCCCACCCCTCCCTTACCACCCGCTCGCCCCTCCGCTGCCCCCCTCAATACCCAGCAGAAACTATTTTGCCCTTATCTCTAATTTTGTTGTAGAGAGAGTATAAGCAATAATAGGAAGGAACAAGGGGTTTTGCTGGTTGAGATAAGGATAGCTATACAGGGCATTGACTCATATTGATTTCCTGTGCGTGGGTGTTACCTTCTTGGTTAGTTCTTTTTGATCTAACCTTTTCTCTAGTACCTGTTCCCCTTTTCCTATTGGCCTCAATTGCTTTAAGGTATCTGCTTTAGTTTCTCTGCGTTAAGGGCAACAAATGCTAGCTAGTTTTTTAGGTGTCTTACCTATCCTCACCCTTCCCTTGTGTGCTCTTGCTTTTATCATGTGCTCATAGTCCAATCCCCTTGTTGTGTTTGGCCTTGATCTAATGTCCACATATGAGAGAGAACATACGATTTTTGGTCTTTTGGGCCAGGCTAACCTCACTCAGAATGATGTTCTCCAATTCCATCCATTTACCAGCGAATGATAACATTTCGTTCTTCTTCATGGCTGCATAAAATTCCATTGTGTATAGATACCACATTTTCTTAATCCATTTGTCAGTGCTGGGGCATCTTGGCTGTTTCCATAACTTGGCTATTGTGAATAGTGCCGCAATAAACATGGATGTGCAGTCCACCAGGCTTTTTTTGTTGTTGTTGTTAAATGAAGGTTCTTTTCAAGATAGAGTCTCACGAACTTATTTGCTGGGGCTGACTTCGATCCAGTCCTCCTGATCTCTGCCTCCTGAGTAGCTAGGATTACAGGCGTGAGCTACCAGTGCCCGGCTGATGCTAAGTTTTTAAACTTAGATTGTTCCCAGTATTCTCACTCTGACATTTACTTGCCCATGTTTGTCTTTATCACATTTTTTTCTACCACTTGTATGTGTGAAAGAGTACTGAATTGCCACGTTGTTTTTAATGATTTCTCTTAAGGATATAGTTCCTTTTAATTTCTACTGTTCCAGTAGTACAGTTACTGCTCACCAAAATGGCTATGTTTTAAAATGTACATTGTAAAGTCTTGCTTTTTTTATTTGCTAATTGTTAAATCATTAGTAGAATTGATTAGCCAGTGAAGATCAGTTGTCTCTAAAGTCTTACAGGTAGATTATAGTTGTCATTACTGAGAGACCCATGCTTATAGTTTTAAAATGAAATCTTTCACACATGTGGAAAAACCCAAACGTTCATGATCCTTTCAGCTTTCCAGACCCAGTACTTTTTCTGTGTAATTAATTTTTCTTAGATTGTTACCTTTTAAATTTTTACTGACCATTGTTGCTAAGTTTTTTGTTACCTGTTTGTAGTTTTGTCAAATCTTATGGTGAAGAAGTTTAAGAGATGGGCTGGCAGAGTGGCTCAAGTTGTAGAGCACTGGCCTCGAAAACGTGAGGTCCTGAGTTCAAACCCCAGTACCCCTAAAAACAAGCAGAAAAAACAACAACAACAAAAAAGTTTAAGAGAACCATTCCAAATATCAGTAGACCAGTAAAAGAGGGAGCTTTTACGTACTCTAAGTATTGATGACAGAAAAAAAACTCTAAATGAAGTCTGTACTTTGAATATAAATGCTAATTGGTGATGGTATTTATAAAAGTCATTCATTTTTTCCTCATTTGTTTTTTTAAGATTTTAGATGTCTTATTGATGTTTTGGTTAGGAGTCATAGAAAAGAATTTGTTATAATAGGGCTGTTTGACTCTTATTCTAGGATGTTAAATCATTACAAAATCAGAATGACTTTATCTCATCTTTGTCTCATATGTGAACCCCTAGACTAATAACCCCTTAGAGCTTCAGTCTAATGCAATTTAATTGTTATTTGTCTTCACAGTATTTTTTGTCTTCAATTTTTAAATAACACATTTATTTCATGGAAAATATAAGCATTAAAATGTTACAGAGACATTTTTGCATTAATACATTTCACATTACAAGTCCATTATAAATTTTGTCTGGTTTTTACAATAATTTTATGTTGAAATTACAATTCTGTGTATGTGTTCTTTAAAAAATATCTAGATGATCAGCAAGCTTTAAACTCAATCATGCAAGATTTGGCTGTCCTTCATAAGGCCAGTCGACCAGCATTATCCTTACAGGAAACCAGAAAAGCCAAGTCTTCGTCACCAAAAAAACAGGTATTTGTTTAAGTATATTTTGTTGCTCTGTGAATTATTTTCCTTTAATAACATGATCTTATAGAGGATTTGTTTAATGTATTTAGCTTTTACACTTTTGTATCAAATATTCTGTATTATACATTTTCCCATAAGAGTGTGCATTTAAAAAAGTTAGAATTTCATTTAATGTGGTAACTGCTTACCAAAGCTGATATCTCATCTGTTCAAGTACTTAAAAAGAAGCAATTAGCTTTTTTTTTTCCTTAAAATAAACTATTCTGGATATTTGCAAATGAGGCTAATTTTGATTCTTGTAAATGAAATTAGTTTGGGATACCCAAAATGAAAAGTAGATATATATTAGTCTTCCCTTATCCGTGGTTTTACTTTCCAGAGTTTCCGTTATCTGTGGTCAACTGAAGTCTGAAAATAACAGATAGAAAATTCCAGAAGTAAACAATTTATAAGTTTTACATTTTGTGCCTTTCTGAGTAGGTGATGAAATTTTACATTGTTCTTCTCTGTCCTGCCTAGCTCATAAATTATATCCCTTTGTCCATTATATCCACATTGTATATGCTACCCATCCAGAAGTCACTTAATAGCTATTTTAGTCATGAGATTGACTTTGTTATGGTACTGTAGTGCTTATGTTCAAGTAATCCACATTTTACTTAATAATGGCTCTATTGCACAAGAGCAGTGATGCTGGCAATTCAGATATGCACAAGAGAGCTTTAAAATGCTTCCTTTAAGAGAAGAGGTGAAAGTTCTCAAGGACATACAAAAAATATCATCTTCATCTTAGAACGTTTATTCTGTAGACAAGGGGGGACCCTGGTATGATAATCTATATTTCCTTATAGCAGGATCAGCAAATGTCTCTTACCTATGATGCCTTCACTAATAGACCTTGTACTCTTTCGCATTGAGCCCAGATGCAAGAACATAATTTTCAACCCTGCTTTTTGTCAGTCACTCAATTGATTGGAGCTGGCATTGAAAATAAAATCTCCCTTCCCTTCTGCTGTATAGTAAATTAGTGGCTAAGAAAAAGAGATGATTTAGAAATTCTAGAAAATTTTATCTGATCTCTGAACGACTTTGTCATTTCATTACAGAATGATGTCCGAGTGAAATTTGAACATAGAGGAGAAAAAAGGTAAGCAAGGAAATAATACATATTAATTAAGTTATTTAATAAAATACATTACATACCAATATCAATATACTACATATTAATTAAGTTATTTAATAAAATGTATATTCCAGTTGAACTATTGAAGATTCTTTCCAGATTTGAATGTAGTTTCATGACAGATAAATTGAGAATGGAGTAGTCCTTGGTATAATGTGTGGCATGTGTTCAGATTTAAAATAAATAGAATCTGTCAAAATTCAGGCTAATAAGGCTAGTGGGCTGGCTCAAGTCGTAGAGCCACCAGTAAGCACAAGGCCCTGACTTCAAACCTTATTACTGCCAAAAAAAATTCAGGATGATCATTAGAAACGATTAGTGTTTCTCCTATATTTTCCAATATTAGGAAATAAATAAGGCCACAGTATAATGCACCCTTTAAATTTTGCCATTTACTTTTGTTTTTTACTCAGTAGAAATTAAATATATTTATTATAATTGTGTTATTCCTTCAGATGCTATGATGATTTCTGTATGCAGACTTAATGTTTATAATTTTGGTTATTCTCAAAAACCTCAAGGCTATGACATGTACTTCATTAGTAATGTTGAGGAAGGTGAGTTGGAATGGTGGCTGTAAATTACTGAGCAGAGCCTTCCTTATACTTGCTCTCTATAACTTGGTACAGAAGTGGTGGTGAGAGCTGACAAACAAAATTGCTGACAAGACCTAATAAGAGTTAGAAAAGATGAAATTTCATTCCTGTAGTGTCCCATTATACTTATGTAATAAAAAGTCTATTAGTCCTAAGGACTTTAAAATGACTCACAAGGCCTATTTTTTTTGGCCGGTATTGGGGTTTGAACTCAGGACCTCATGCTTGCTACGCAGGCGTTCTACCACTTAAGCCACTCTACCAGCCCACAAGTCATATAACTTGAAGGTGTAAATAAATTTCGCCAGAAATATTGGGAAAAAATGGAATAAACTAGATATAACAGAATTGTCCAGTTTATTTCCTTATTTGAGATTATAGATATTTCCCCAATGTTTTCATTCACTAGTCCTGTGTATTGAGTACTTACTACATGCTAAGTCCTAAGGCATATAAGTGAGCAAAGCAGATATGGGTTCGCCCCCATGGAGGTTACAGTCGACATGGTGCTCTCCAAATTTTAGTGCATGTTCTTTGGGACAGTGTAGGCCAGTCCTTTGGGAAATAGGGGGAAAAATACTATAATTTTGTTTCATTTTGATATTTTAATCCTTGTAAAATATTTTAGAGATTTTTTTACACAATATATGCACTAAAACATGTTAAGTTGGTAAGGATATAGAAATGAGAATTTGAAAAGTTATCCCAAAGGACAACTTTATTCCTTTCAACAGTTTCATTACATTCTATTGTGCATATGTCACATAGATAAATTTAATCACTTTCCTCAGTACATGTTTTACCTTAGGCAGTTTCAGTGCAAATTAAAAACTGCAGGAAGTTTTGACAATTTCCTTTTTAAATTTTTAATTAGGATAGAACAGAATTTTGTGCTGAAAATTTGGGCACTTGACCAAAAATGAACGCTACACAACTTTTTACTAATTTTGCCTCTAACGAGATAAATGTTGTTAGTAGACTGTTTATGCCTAAAAAAATAAAGTATTTAAAAATTCTGTTTATGTAGAATTCTTCAGTTCCCCAGACCCCTTAAACTAGAAGATCTGAGGTCTAAGGCTAAAATTGCCTTTGGACAGTCTATGGATCTCCATTATACCAACAATGAGGTAAACATGCACAGTTTAATTTTTAGTGGTCTTTAGTTTGGAAAGTTAGTGTGTTCATGTAGGAGTGTTGTGTTTTTATTTAGTGACTTTAAGAATATGCTGTCTTAGGGGAATAAAATATCACAGGTAAATTTATAAACTTTATTTGATTAAAATGGATTTTTTTCCATTGTGGAAAATAATGGAAGATGCTACTATGCAAATAATTGAGTAAGAATCTATACTAGGAAGAAATATATGTGTTACTTGGAAGTTTGCTTTTATATGTGTTAATTTTACTCTGTGTACTTTATGGATGAACTTTCTTTTCCTGCCAGACTATACTTGGTATGGTCAATAGGACTTTGGTAGTCAGTTTAATTAAAGGCAGAACGATTATTAGTGTTGGATAGGATACAATTAGATCTATAAGCTTATTTTTGGGAGTCAGTACACTGAGGAGCACTGTGTTCTTGGTATATCTGTGTATATCCGTTTGTAATCTGTAAAATTAGTAATGCATTCTGAGGATTTTTGCAGTTCTTGAGATCTTAACATTTGTAAGACAATTTAATTGGTTGGGTGTTTTATCTTCTCAATGCTGTGGCTTATGAATTATGGCTCCTCCTGGGGTAGGCTTCATAGACTTGTAGAAACAGAATTAATAAATGAGATGTTTAAATATATGAAGTTCTTTGAAGAAATAAAGTATTGTGATAATGAATAAAAGCAAGTGCACTAAGTGTCCTATTTGTGGTATTAAGGAAGAACTAGCTGAAACTCATAATGAGACTTTCATATGAAAAGACAACCCTGCAGAGTTTCAGAGGAAGAACACTGGGGGAGAGAACATCTTAAGAGCAGTGCATACAGAGATGCTGAGACAGAAAAGTCCTGTATGTATCAGAAGTAGGAAAGGTGCCAGTGGGGATGGAGTGACAATGGAGAGCTTGGTGTAAAACTTCACAGAAGAAACAAGTGAAAAGCAGTGTTAAAGCATAGCGGGACACCTGTGACTCATGTCCATAATCCTAGCTACTTAGGATGCTGACATCAGTGAGATTGTGGTTCCAGGCCAGTTTGTGAGGACTTCCCCCAACCCTCATTTCAGTGGGAAAAAAAACTGGGCATGGTGGGCATGCCTGTCATCCCAGTGACTTCAGGGAAGTATAAAATAAGAAGATTGTGGTCCAGACTGGCCTGGGCAAAAAAGTGAGACCCTGTCTCCAAAGTACCAGAGCAGAAAGGGCCAGAGGAGTGGCTCAAGTGGTGGAGCACCTGCCCCCAAACACAGAAGCCCTGAGGTTAAACTCTAGTGCTACAGGGGAAAAAAAATTAAAGCATTGTGCAAATAACACATTTGAAAATAATATTTTAAATGAGTTGTTAATTGAAAGCCAAATTAAATGCTAATGTAGCAAGCAATGCCTACCTAAAGAAACCACTTAAAGCTCAGAGGTGAAAATATTTTCCTAAACAATTACTATCTCTGAGCAAAGTGATGAGTAGCATACTATAGTAATATTTTGAAATTTTGTTTTTCAAATATGAATTTTCAATTGGCCAGAAACACATGTTCTTGCCCAGCCCTATCTGGGCACTTTATTTTTGTGTACAGATTTTCAGCTGCTAGCATAGAGCAGGCTTCTTGTATGATACTCAATAGTTAATAATTTTTCTTTTATTAGATAAAATTTTCACAGAGAAAGAAGAGCCTACTTAGTGATAACTTACAGTAATAACAAAATTAGCTACAAACAGAAATTGTGGGTAAAATTGTAAGTACAGAGTAAAATGTGAGTGTATGATGGAATTCACATTAATGATTAATGCTGGTTTGTATTTGTTCTTAGCAACCTTTCTTCAAAAAAAAAAATAGTTTTTTTTCATGAAGAAATCTGCAGTGAGTACCCATCATGTCAGCTAATGAGGTTGGGTGCAGCTTGAGTTCTCCTGCTTTGGGACTTAGGCGACATTTGCCAAGTGTCTGCTCTTTGCTGTGCTTTGCTGGAGTGGGAGTCCTTGTCCTCAGGGAATTTATACTGCAGAGATCCCCAAGCCAAGTCAGCTTTAGGTTTAAATGGCTCATATACTGTGCTTATTAGGACTAGTTAACAGGTGTGGCATATTTTCATTTGTTTTTACTCTGTCCCTCTCCAATGAAATAGAATATACTTTGATATTACTGATAAGGGTTCTTAAGCTGCGAAGTTGGCTTTGTTGTCGTTATTATAGTATATGGTTTTGAGCACAGGGCCTCAAGGTTACTGGGCAGTTGCTCTACTACCTGAGCCACACCTCCAGCCCTTTTGCTTTGGTTGTTTTTGAGATAGGGTCTCTTCGTTTTATGTTTCTTGTATAGCTGGAATGAGAGGTGCCCCTGTCCAGCAAGTATTGGTTGAGATGGGGTCTCTGGAACTCTTTTGCCTGGGCTGGCCTCAAACTGTGAGTCTCCTGATTTCTGCCTCCCAGGTAGCTGGGATTATAGCCATAAGTCACCATGTCCTGGTGAAAGTTGACTTTTTTTTTCTTTTAGCAGTACTGGGGTTTGAACTCAGAGCTTTGTGCTTGTGAGTGGTTTGACAGTAATCCTCCTATTTAATCTTCCTGCTGTCACTGGGATAACAAGCACTTACCACCACACCTAGCCTTTTTCCACTGAGATGGGAACTTTAAAACTTTTTGCCAGAGCTGCCCTTGAACCATGATCCTCCCAATCCCAGTCTCCCAAGAAACTAGAATTATAGGCTTCAGCCACCATGTCTGGTGATAGAAAATTAATCTTTAAATATTTATTAAAAGAGTGTAATGATTCATAAAATTAACTGTTCAGTTTAAGATTTCAATGATGGTAGAATGGGGAGAACAAAATTAGATTTATATGCTATTTACACATTATTTATCATAACAAAGAACAAGGTATTTTGAGATTTACAATTCCCTAGAAATGGAGATGCTCATAAATACCCTGACCTGGTGAGATGCCTGCGTGATTCCTTATGTTTCTTTTTGTTCAGTTGGTAATTCCGTTAACTACCCAAGATGACTTGGACAAAGCAGTGGAACTGCTTGATCGTAGTATTCATATGAAGAGCCTCAAGATATTACTTGTAATAAACGGAAGTACACAGGTATGAACTGAGTTGTTTTTCAAGTAAGGATTAGAAGATTGGTAAAAGCTGTATATGAATCAGTTATGTTCTATAATTATATAATTTTCAATATGATTAAATTTACATACTTTAATTGCTAGCCTTTAATATCCTTGTTCCTAAAAACCATACTCATAATTACAAATAAGAACCGTATATTGTATATATGAAACTAATAGAAACTGGCAACTCAGGAAGAATTATGTTAGGATTAAAATGTCTTTTTTTTTGGATACATAATCTCACTTTGTTGCCCAGGCTACCCTTAAACTCCTGGGCTCAAATGATCTTCCTGCCTCAGCCTCCCAAGTGCCTGGGACTATAGACATGTACCAGTGCTCCTGGCAGGATTAAAATTTCTAATAGTAGATTTGATAAGACCTAGTAACAATATAGAATAGCTAGGTTGCATTTGATGGGGGGAGAACTGTACTTAAAACCCTGAAAGGGAAGCATCAGTTGTCCTTTTTCCTTCATAGGCTACTAACTCAGAACCACTGCCGTCACTAGAAGATTTGGATAACACAGTATTTGGAGCAGAGAGGAAAAAGCGGCTTTCTATAATAGGTAAGAAAGCTAGTCTCAATCATAAAATGGGCTATTTCTCAATTTCTTCCCTATCTTTTAATGTAGGACAATATGGAAACATCTTTCTTATAAATAGTCCCCATTGCTATACTCTGTAATTTATCTAACTACTTTCTAATATCTGATGTTCTTTGGAAATTAATTTCACATATTATAGGATTAGCAATCTCCAATTTAAATTCTTTATATACCTAGGGTATTACTGTGATTAAAAAACTCAAGTAAAACTTTAATAAATAGGATCTAGGGGGGAAAAGTTAAAATAATTCTAAGACATTAAAATTAATAGTCTAGACTCTTAAGTTCCTAAGTCTGTCTCTAGGGTTTCAGTTACTGCCAAAATGCTATCAAAGATTGCTGAGAATTTCCAGACTGTGCTTTAGTATTACTTTCTTAGTATTCAGCTTTTCCTTGCTATCAATAATGCATTGCTATAGTTAAGCTTATGATATAAAGAAATAAAAAATGCTTTGTGCCATGTAATGCTCTCATCAGCAAGACATGGGCTAGGCAGAAGAGCTCCCAACTTCCCAGCGTTATGTGTCTTCAATTTGTATAAAAGATTAATAATCACAGTTTTATAAGATAAAGAGCTTTTCGTTGCTCACAAAACCACTGGTATAAATGTTTATAGCAGGCAGGGCAGAGGATATGGTCATTAAATATAGCAGTGAGACAGCATGGTGATAACATGCCTGTAATCTCAACTACACAGATGTGTAGGTAAGGAGATGGTGATCCAACGCTGGCCTTGGCAAAATGTGAGACCCTATACAAAAAGTAACTAAAGCGAAAAACAAAGCAGGGAGGTTAGGGAGTTAGGGGCATGACTTAAGCAGTGAAGTGCTTGTCTGGCAAGCATGAGGCCTTGAGTTCAAAAATCCCAGTACCACTGAAAAGCCCATGAGATGATGTATGAGGGTTGGATTTGAAGGGGAAAAGTAGAAGAGGAAGAGAAACAGGTGGGTAGGAAGGAAGCAGGAGAGTGTGACAAAGTGGGAAATGTAGTTGGGAATCCAAACAATCCAGTCTTCCAGAAGAGGATCATTAATAATGAAAGAAAAGATTAAGTTGGCATGTGAGCCACCAGAACAACTGTTCATCTTCTCTTTTGGTTTCCAGAAGAAGCTATTTTAAGGCCATTCTTTTTTAAAATGTACTGTCTCACATAAACCTTACTTTTGGTTTCAGAAGTGCTAGGGATGTGAGCAGTAAAGATGGTGCACAAATAAAATAAAAATGACCTGTCCTCATTTAGATATATTTTGGTACAATTAAAAAATTTGGTGAAAGAACATTTGGGAAACTTGAATTCAAATTCTAGCTCTGTGACCCATAATCTGAAACTGACAAATTTGTCGTCTTTTTTTTTTCTGTAGGCAGGGCCTTGGCCTTGATATGTAGCCTAGGATGGCCTTGAACTCGTGATCCTTCCACCTATGCCTCCTGAGTGCTGGGATTGCAGGCGTGCACCATCATGCCTGGCTCTCCTTATCTTTAAATCATGGGATTTTAGCTTCAAATTGAAAGAAAATTTACAAAGTACATTTTGCTTTTCAAAGTGGAAAGCACAAGACCACTATTAATTATACATTTCTTTCTTTATAGAACTGATCATGGTAAAATAAAAAGTTAATTCACTTCAGTTATGTTAGACAGAGCAAGATAAATGCACTAGTTAAATTGACATTTTGAATTCAGATTTGAATTGAATATCTCAGTCTTATCTATCAATAAATATTCTTGTTATTGGACTTTGGTGTCAGCATAATTGTCTAGAATTGCCAAGAGTGCATTAGCATGTCCATTACTAAGAAAAGCTAAGAAAAATGAGTTGGCAAGTAATGAGATGAGGAAGTTTTCATAGTTTGTTTTCTTCCCTGTTTCCTTTTAGTAGCTGAATAGATTGATCTTTTGTAAACAAGGGTATATGGAAGGAGTAAAAATGTTAGTACAAATATGTGATCATTGTAACTATAGTGGTTACAGATCCTGAATGAGCTCTTTGCATAAAGCTGAAGCTTTTTTTGCTTTAAATAGAAATTAAATGCTTATACAACTTCCCCATATCTGTTTTATAGTTTAATTTAAAAAAAATTAGAAGGAGGAGGGCAAACTGTGTCAATAAACAAAGTATCATTTCCACAGAACCAGGAAAAAAATAAGGTGGGTTATTGACTCAGAATAATTATGAATAATTAAATGAACTATCTTAAATGAATGCCATATTCTCCATTTTTCTAAACTATGAAGAAATTTTATTTTCAGAATTATGGGTTGCCACAAAGCCTAATTTTAAGTAACCCAAAATAAGGTAGATCCAGGATTCCAGATTTATACCCTAATGGTGCTAAATGATTAAAAAGTAATCTCACTTGAGGGTTAGAAAGAGGGAATGGAAACAATACTGTGGAGCCATATGTGCAGAGCACATGTAAAATCATGCATTGTGAATGATTTTGGTATTCCAACATCCTTGCAAAGAAGGGATGTAGTCTCATGAGTATGGTTGGAGAAACAGGTTCATGATTGGGCAACTGCCAGAGACATTCAGCTGGCAAATACCTGCAACTGGGATTTAAACTGAGCCCTGAAGACTGGAGGCCTGGTTCCCATGGTACAGCTACTGCCTTTCAGGCATTGGCCCTGAGTTCAAACTCCAGAGCCACCAATAATAATAGTGATGGTAGAAAATAAACTGAGCTGTGATTCCAGAGCTCTTAGTCTTCCACTACATCATGGTGTTGCCCACAAATTATGTTGAAAACTAACATGTCCAAGTTACTTCTGGACGTTCAGATACAATGGCATTTATCTTAAGATTCTATAGTGTATCATCAGCCTATGGGGCAGTTATCAGCACTCAAAAGAACTGGTACTTAATGAGTATAAATGAATAGTACAGTGAGGTTAATAATTATGGTAGGATGAGATTTAGAAAGGGTAGAAAAACGTTTGAAGTTTTACAAACAAACACATATAAAACAAAAATTGAATTCCTTGATGATACTGATAAAATCATTTAATTTTTCTCCTTTGAGGTCCCACTAATAGAGATAGAAGTTCCCCTCCCCCAGGATACATTCCAGATGAATTACACCATGTTGCCCGGAATGGGTCGTTCACTAGCATCAACAGTGAAGGAGAGTTCATTCCAGAGAGCATGGACCAAGTAAGCCAAAGTTCGATGTTGTTTGTCATTTTATTTAAATGTATATCGGTCAGGATCAGTGGGATTTGGCAGGTACCTGGGGTGTGTGCATGTGTGTATGTGAGTGTGCTTTACCTCTTCCAATCCCATAGTGTCCTTTTTTTTTTTTTTTAAACTTGCCAGAGCACACCCATATTGTCCTTCTTAAATGAAACAAATAGTAAAAAAAGAAAAATGCCCATTAATTACATGTGCCTTTTCCAATCCATAGTGTCCTTTTTTTTTTTTTTAAACTTGCCAGAGCACACCCATATTGTCCTTCTTAAATGAAACAAATAGTAAAAAAAGAAAAATGCCCATTAATTTACATGTGCCTTTATGTGTTGATATGTAAAGAAAAATGCTGAGATAAGGCAGCTTTTCTTTTTCTGTCTTTTTTTTTTTTTTCTGAGGTACTGGGGTTTGAACTCAGGTCCTTGAGTTTGCTAGGCAGGTGCTCTGCCACTTGAGCCACTCTGCTAGCCCTAAGGCAGCTTTTCTTACATTGTTCATCCATCAGTGAATGCATGAACGAATGAATGAATGAATGCATTAAAAAAATTCTGGGATTAACTAACATTCAGAGTTTTTGAATGAACACTTGAAAGATAGAGTAAAATTACAAATATTTAACTTTATGAGGCTCAGGTGTGTGGACTATCTGTGATTTTAAAAAGTTCTTGAAGTTTGTAGTATTAAAATGTTTCCATGGAGTTGCTTTTATTTAGCTCCTTATCTTTGCACTGGATGCTCACACTACTGCAGTAGTTTATATTTTCTGGTAATGGTAGTAGTCACTTTGTTATCAATCTTAGTTGAATGGAGCCATTGTTCAGTTGTCAGTAAGCAAAGTTATATGAAATAGTTTAGCTTTTAATTATTTGACTAATAGGATATAGTATATTTTTCTCTTAGGAAATTTTGAAGTTCTTGTTTACCTATGTAGGATGTTTAAAAATGAGTAATTCTGGAGAGTGACTTCTGTTGACTATGAGGTTTCTTTTGGAGTTCTGACAGTATTGTAAAATTATGGTGAGGATTGTACAATTCACAGGATATCAAGAACCATTGAATTATACACTTAAAATGGGTGAGGTTTATGTTAATTTTGATTTCAGTGATGCAAGGGTTTTTTTTTTAAGTAACTTTTCCTTCTATCAGACTGAACCATGGTGAAAATGTTTCTTTTCCTAGATGCTGGATCCATTATCTTTAAGCAGTCCTGAAAATTCTGGCTCAGGAAGTTGTCCATCACTCGATAGTCCTTTGGATGGGTAACGTGGATTGTAGATTTGTCTTTTTAGTGCATACACACAGTGTGCAGGATTACCAGTAATTCTTTTAGTCCATGTTCAGAAGAATGTAGTGAATTGATACTTGTTTATTCTTACAGCAAAGGAAGTTTTCCATTTTGTGGGTAAATCCCTTAACCTCATGGAACTTGGTATTTTTATTGGTAAAACGTATCTGATTATAATATTTTGAGTATCTCTGGTTGCCAAAATTGTATATTTGAAGGCAAATGCAAACTTAGAATTTATGTATGTTCACTTTAAAAACTATGCTAGTGAAACTTTTCTAATTTTTCATTAATATGTTCGGTTTTGAAGCTTTCTTGATTTGCTTCACCTGTTCAGGATTATTTTCATTCTGATACCAGATTGAAAATAATTTACATTCTTGGTAACAGTGGCCCAGCTTGTTGATTGACATTTGAAAAATTTTAAGTACTTTTGTGAAATAGATGTTCACGAATGTGAAGAAGTTTGCATCTGAATTTTTTGTTACAAGTGAGCCCCCTCCTGGTTCTCCGTGGGATATTATTCTTGATATTCACTGGTAGCATGAAGTTAGTATTAAAATCTTTACCTCTTTAATCTCCTCTGGAATTGCTTTATGAAAGCAAAATTTGAAAAGATAACTAATACTGCTTGGGAATTTACATTTACTTTTCTTATCCATCTGTATGAAACACCCATCTGTCAGTGTCTACCTCAAGGTACATATTGAGTACTTGCTATTTGGCGTGCTCCATCCTGAACACTTGACTTACATGCATTGGATGAGTTGTAAATTATCACGTCCTTTTTATAGATGCATAGACATTCTACAAAAAATGATTTGCCAAGGTTACACAGAGCTTGGACTCAGGAGTTGTAAACACCAAAATACATCATTGTATTTTGTAACATTGCCATGCTGCTCAGTAGGCTAATTTTATATAATATTTTGTACACAGGTGCCAAATAAGTTTAAAAAGAAGTGTCCCTTTTATGTAATTATGTAATTATGTTAATATTTCAGAGGGAACTTCTATATATGCATACACATATACACACATACATATAAGATACAGAGATTACTTAAAGATTTTTAAAATTTTATTTACATACTTTATTAATGTTTCATTTTCTATTTATAGAGAGAGCTATCCAAAATCACGAATGCCTAGGGCACAGAGCTACCCAGATAATCATCAGGAGTTTTCAGGTTAGACTATAAATTCTACATGTTTAAATATTTATATCATAGGATAATATTTTGGCTGGGGCTGAGTGAGCTTTTTGTAAAATAATAAAAATTTGTAAATGTGCTTTTCATCATTAAAAATACTTGGATTTTTTTAAACTTAATTTTGTTACATGTTTTAACAGACTACGATAATCCTATCTTTGAGAAATTTGGGAAAGGAGGAACATATCCAAGGAGGTACCATGTTTCATATCATCATCAAGAGTATAATGATGGTGAGTTAGTGGCGTTTAGACCTGCTGCAGGAACAGGTTACGTTCTCAAATACAGTAAAAACAAACATGTTTTCACGGTCCTGTTAGAAACAATCGCTCTTGAACCACTTTACTCTCTGGGTTGTTTTGTTTTTGTTTTTTTTTTTTTTTCTTAAACAAAAAATCATTTTAGGTTAGACACATGGCTCAAACAACAGAACTCCTGCCTAGCAAGCATTAGGCCCTGAGTTCAAACTCAGATGCCACCCAGCAAAAAACTTTTTGTGGAAATTGGGTCATACTAAAACCATAACAACATTTTAGCTTTGTGTTGACTTGTAATACTTGTGTTTCTATTAAAAGGAGTAATTGTAAAGTGATACTAATTAGAAAATTAACTCTTTAGTGACGAAATTCATATTTTCAGTATCCCTTTAAGAAAAAAAGTTACCTCTAAACTTTCCAATTTTTGTTCTATATTTATTTAAAACTAAAAATGAAAATATTTTTTTTCTCTTTCTATCCAAATGTGAAGGACTTCTATCTGTAGTTTTCATTTGTGTGTGTGTATGTTAGTATGTGCATTTTCATTTTATTTCAAATTATTCAAATATGTATTCAGATACTAGTTTCCCCGCCCCCCAGTAGCCATTGTAAATTCAACTTCTTAGCCTAGTTTCAGAGCAAATTTCTGTTTTCTTTTTTTTTTTTTGGTTTATTCACATGTGCATACATTGTTTGGGTCATTTCTGCCCCCTTTCCCCTCCCTCTCCCTCTCCCCAAATTTTCATTTTCTATGTTAAAGATTTTAAGTACTTTAAACGTGAAGTATGTTAATAAGAGGAGTAAAGTAATTCTGTTTTCATTTTGTAGGTCGTAAAACGTTTCCAAGAGCTAGAAGGACCCAGGGCACCAGTTTCCGGTCTCCTGTGAGTTTCAGTCCTACTGATCACTCCTTAAGTACTAGTAGTGGGAGCAGCATCTTTACCCCAGAGTATGAAGACAGTCGAGTAAGAAGAAGGGGAAGTGACATAGACAATCCTACTTTGACTGTAATGGACATCAGCCCACCCAGCCGTTGTAAGTAATAGAAATGTCATGGCGAAATGTATAGCAGAACCTTCATAGAGTTTTATAATAGTAATAATATTAAATAGCAAATTAGTCCTCAGGGAGAGACAAATACCTCAAAAGAGGTAATGATATTTCTAAAAGTGTCTGGAATGTCAGGTATAAGCATGATATTACTACTAATTACTTTAGCTAATTGTGTGTCCTTGACTTTGTTAAGAAAATTATTACTAACTAGTTATTCTCAGCCACTGCATTCCCCATGTCCCTGTGGGGTACCTAGCACTGAGATTTTAAACATAACCTCTAAGTCATAGTCTAGTAGGGAGATTGATAGATGGAAATTACAGTGTAACATTTAGTCTAGATCTAAGTGTGGATAGAAATTCACTGGCTAAGGAGATGACATGTACCAGAGACCATGGCATATTCTGAAAATGGGGAGTAGCTTTTTTGCTGACGTAGGGGATATCTTATTTGAAATGGTGGAATTAGGACTACAAAATGTTTGGGTTTTACACGCAGACAATGCCTTCAAAGATTCATGCTCAAAGATACTCACTGCTGCAAATTTGCATCATCTAATGGTGTATAATAAAGGAAGGTTTACTGTTAAAACCCCCAAATTACATGATCTCATTTTTTCCCTTTTGCACTAGTGCTGTCTTACTTTCACACCTATGGCTCCACACCACACTGCCATTATTTTTGCTTTAGACAGCTGTCTTTTAAAGTGATTGAAAATAAGAAAGGAAAACCTTTTGTATGTCTTTAGTTTATCTATTTCTGTAGATTTTTTTTTTTTTTTTTTGCGGTACTGGGGTTTGAACTCAGGGCCTACACCTTGAGCCACTCTGCTAGCCCTTTTATGTGATGGGTTTTTTCGAGATAGGGTCTCGAAAACTATTTGTCCGGGCTGGCTTTGAACCTTGATCCTCCTGATTTCTTTCACCTGAGTAGCTAGGATTATAGTCATGAGTCACCTGTGCCTGGCTTATTTCTGTAGATGTTTGTTTATGTAGATCCAAGATTCAGTTAAGTATCAAATTGCTTTTGCTTAAAGAATTGCATTTAGTCTTTCTTATAATACAAGTGTACTGGTAATAAATTTTCAGCTTTTATTTATTTAAAAAGGTATTACTCCTTCATTTTTGATATTTTTTTCTTGGTATTGACTTCTGGGCATAGTTTTTTTTTTTTTTTAAGGTTTCAGTATTTTGTTTTTTTTTTTTGAGATAGAGTCTCATACTGCATTGCCTATGCTGGCCTTGAACTCACTCACTGTGTAGCCCAGGCTGGCCTCAAATTCACAATCCTCTTGCCTTCACTTCCTGAGTGCTGGGATTACAGGGGTATGCCAGCTTTAATTTCAGTACTTTAAAGTTATCTCTCCATTGTCTTCTGGCTTACGTTCTTTCAGAGAAGAAATTTCTTTTAATTCTTTTTTCATTGTTCTATAAATAGTATGCTCTTTGCTCCCTCTAGTTCCTTTTAGGATTTTCTCTTGGATTTCCAACAGTTTGACTATGATGTGTCTGAAGATATTTGTGAGATTATCGATTGTTGTTTCCTGATTTATTATAGTTTGTTTGTCTATGAAAAATTCTCAGTCATTATCTCTTCAAGTATTTTTTCTACCCCATTCATTCTTTTTCTTTTGGGATTCCAATTGCCTATTTTGATAATTGTTCTACACCTCTGTTCATTCATCTTCTCTGTCTCCACCTCCTACCCCCTCCATCATCAGTTTGAGAAATTTCTGTTGATCTGTTTCTGTGTTCATTGATGTTTTTTCCACCTCAGGTCTGCTGAGTCTATTCATGATCCTGTTAAAGGAATTACTTATTTTTTATTTCAAGCATTTCTATTTGACTCTTTTCATATCTGTTGAAATTTTCCATCTGTTCATTCATGTTGTCCACCTTTTTCATTATAACCTTTAGCTTTTTCTTTTTCCTTTATTTTAAAATTTTTGTTGTTGTTGTATTGTGTTTGAACTTGGGGCCTCATACTCGCTAGGCAGATGCTTTATGCCTTGAGCCATTCTACAGCCCAGAACCTTTAACATCTTTATTATAGTTTTATGTTTTCTGCCTAAGTCTTTTGAGTCTGGTTGTGTTGATTCCCTTCCTCCCTCCCTCTCTCCCTCCTTCTTTTCCTTTCTTCTCTCTCTCTCCTTTTTTTTTGGCAGTAATGGGGTTTGAACTCAGGGCTTCACACTTGCTAGGCAAGTGCTCTACCACTTGAGCCACTCCTCCAGCCCCTCTTCTGTCTCTCTCCCTCTGCTGTTTTGTGTCTTATAATTTTACATTGAATGTCAGACATGTATAGGATAATGGAGACTGAGGGAAATAGACTTACGCCTATAAATAGGCACCACCTGGGCGTTTTTGTGGAGTTTTGAGTCAGTTTCGTCCACAGTTTTATCTGGATTTTGGTTTTGTTATTGTTATGGTCCCTGTGCACCATGGACCTCAAATTAATCTAAAGATACATTGTTTTTAGATTTTGTCAGTAGTCCTGCTCTACCCTTGGCTTTTGGCCTTTCTTGTTTGTCTGATTCTCAGAAAGGGAGGGTCTCTCTAAACTTACCCTTCCTCAGCAGTAAATTTCTGGTGTTTGTTAACTTGCATAGGGGAAGCAGAATAGAGGATTCTGTGCAAATTGTAAGTGCATCTTACACTCAATCTGTGGCATCTTATATTGAGTAAAAGAAGCTAGCTCATTGTAATCAGGAAAAGAAAATCTTGCTTAAAAAATGAATTGTGGGGAAATAAACCTGATTTAAGTTTAGAATTCTTAGAAGAATTCTTCAATTCTAAGAATTCTTCAAATTCTAAGAAGAATTCTTTGAATTCAAAGAAAGATAGTGGCCATGATGAATTTAGGTAGTCATGATTTTTCCTTATATCCAAGAATGTTCAATTTAAGATCTTACTATGTAGGTCCGTAACTGTTCATGTACTATCTGACTATTTCATTTTAAGACGGTATTTTTTTTCAGCACCTCGAGCTCCAACCAACTGGAGATTGGGCAAACTGCTTGGCCAAGGAGCCTTTGGCAGGGTCTACCTCTGTTACGATGTTGATACAGGAAGAGAATTGGCTGTGAAGCAAGTTCAATTTGACCCCGATAGCCCTGAGACCAGCAAGGTAAAAATCATTGAACAGATTACTTTGTGACATTACCAGAAGCATATTTACTTACAAAAAAAATAATATGCAGTAGAATTTTTGGTTTTTCCTTAATACAAATTATTTGCAAAACAACTAGATGATTAAATGTCTATCTGCTTTGTACTGTGGGTGCTTCTTTTTTAGTATTTTATTTGTAATCTTAGTCTGATTTAGACTTATTTTAGCATACATTCCAGGACTGTTAAAAAAAAAAAAAAAAGTACTGTTGTTCAAACCCCAGAACTGCCAAAAAAAAAAAAAAAGTACTGGTTAGAGACATTAAAATGTTCTCTGGGCAGTAAACATTTCAGAATGAATTTACTGTGGTAGACCATGAAGTGATAATATTTTGCTTTTATTAATGGTGTTGTAAAGACAGTTAATGAGATCTGTCTTTCAGGAAGTAAATGCACTTGAGTGCGAAATTCAGTTGTTGAAAAACTTGTTGCATGAGCGAATTGTTCAGTATTATGGCTGTCTGAGGGATCCCCAGGAAAAGACACTTTCTATCTTTATGGAATATATGCCAGGGGTAAGTTCTTACATCTTTTTGAAATTGGCATTCTATTTAAAAGTCAATGGAGGAAAGAAAGATAACAAAAAGTGGCACTATAAAATGCAAACCCTACCTAAGGACATTTGGAAGAGTTTTAAATTAGATGAGCTGGGTAATATTTCCTGTCCTCTTCATGTAGCTTTGTATTTTTAAACTCACTAAGATTGAAATGTCCTAAAGTAGGTTACAGACATCAGAGTAATCCCATCATCAGATTTCCCTAAATGCCTTAAATATGTCCATTGTAGCTGATTGATCCAAACATGATCCTGTCCAGCACTGTATATCACAGATAGTTGTTATGTCCTTTAATTAATTCTCCTTTTGTCCACAACAGTCCATTTTTACATGATGTATAGACCAAGACAGTTGTTCTGGCTGGGTATGATAGCACACACCTTTAATATGCTGGCAGGAGGATGGTTGACCACATAGCAGGTTCAAGGCTAGCTTGGTAAACATTGCAAAACCCTGTTGAGAGAGAGGATGAACGAACAAAAACTAACTAACTTGAGGCTGTTGGGTAGCTTCAGTTTATGAAAGCAGAGAACAGGTGGTTCATGGTACACCTCTTCGTATGCAAAGTATTCTGTGAGTTGTAAGTATCCTTGAAATGTGATGTAGACTGTAATGCTAAAAAAGCTAGAAAAAGGTTATAGTCATTCCCATAACTTAACCAAAAATGCTAGAAAAAGGAGTTTGATTTATGGGTCTTTATGGGGTCAGCTGATGAGAGTTCTATATAGAAGGTAGAAGGTTGCAGTTTGAGCTTATGGCCCAATAAAACTGTGGATTGATACCTGATAGTAATGTTCTGAACCTTTTCAGTGTCACAAAGTAACAGTGACTTTTCTTAGCATCTTGAACAATTGTTCATAGTGACATGATTGCTACTCATTGGGTTTTTTTTTACCCCTTTTATAATTTCAAAGATCCTGTTTCCAGTGTAAATTAGTTTTTAAAAATTCTCTTTATAAAACAAATTGGGAAATGTATTTAAGGCCTTGAAAATATTGAAGTGTTAAGACTTGATAATCTTGTAGATTTTTTTTGTTTGTTCATTTATTCATATGAGCCATTTCTTCCCCCTGCCTCCTGCCCCCTCTTGTAGATATTTATTTTACAGAAGTAATATGAATAAAGGAAAACTATGTTTATTTTGCTATTACCTGTGCTGGAAAAATAAGGGAATATTAATGCTCATTACAGAAAATTCATGCCCTTTCCAGTTATAGCCTCCCAGTTAACCAACTAGGACGTCCTTAAAAATAAAAATTTAATGCGGTTTCCATTTCAAATAATAGTTTTTGCTGTTTTCTTTTATCCTAGGGTTCAATTAAGGACCAATTAAAAGCTTATGGAGCTCTTACTGAGAATGTGACTAGAAAATATACCCGTCAGATTTTGGAGGGTGTCCATTATTTACATAGTAACATGATTGTTCATAGAGATATCAAAGGTAAGTCAAGAGGTACTTTTTACTAAGTACACAGTTCTTTGTGAATGTGAATGACATAAGTGATATGGTTAAGGCATTTAACATTTAAGTTAATGCATATTCCTCTAAAATACCATAGAGAAACAGTTCTCTTGCTTTCTCATGGACTCTCTCTCTCAGTGTTCCATCAGATAAGTCCCAGTGTTCAGGTCTTGACAAATGAGTTGCTCCATTGTGGAGGTTTAAACAATCAGTAAGAGTCAAAAGACCATGCAAATGAGACTGTGTTTTCATCCATATTGCATAGGTATTAGAATACAGGATTGAAAATAGGAGAGTAAGGACTCTGCTATCAGACAGCTGGATTCAGATTTGGACTTCATCTGTCACTAATTGTACTCTTGGACAAGTTAATCTTTCAGTACCTTAGTTCCTCATTCTTTTCCTTTCCTTTCCTTTTCGTCTTTCTTTCTTTTTGTTTTTTGGTGATGCTGGATAGAATCTTTATTCTTAAATGAGAGTATACTCGTATCCAACTTTAATATTCTTGTAAGAATTAAATTAGTTTAGGGCTGGAGGCGTGGCTCAAGCAGTAGACCACCTGCCTAGAATTAAATTAGTTAATGCATGTAATATGCTTAAAACATTGGTACCTTGAAAGTACTCAAAAGTTAGCAATAATGATGGCATACTTTATGTTGCGATCACATTTAAAGTCTCAGGAATGGATGTGACTAGGGAAAGAATAAGGAGGGAGGAGCCAGGCACTGGTGGCTCACATCTGTAATCTTAACTACTAGGCAGGTTGAGATCAGGAGAATTGTGGTTTGAGGCCAGCCTGAGCAATTAGTTCATGAGACTCCATCTCCAAAACAACCAGAGGAAAATGGACTGGAGGCATGGCTCAAAGAGTGCTTGCTTTGCAAGTGTGAAGCCCTAAGTTCAAACCCCAGTACTGCCAAAAAAAAAGGGATGAAAAGAGTGCTAGACTGAGTTTGATGCATTCTAATTCGGTTAAACTTACTTTTTAAACTAAAAACTCAGCTGTTTTCAGGAATCAGATAAGTGACACAAAGTGAGTGGTGAGAATTGTAAAATTGGAAAGTGCTTAAGACTGTACTGTGCAGCTTCACTGGAGGTCTGATTCTGTACAAACTCAGTGTGACCCCAATTTTACAAATCACTTAAAAAAAATAAATTTAAATGTTTATGTATAGTATTCATTGATCTTCCTTGGGATGCTTTTGAGTCACCAGGCTTTTGCTTCTTCCTTGTGGTGTGGCATATCCTGACTGTGGTGCTATTAGGCCAAGGAGAACATTCCAAACCAGTTTCCAGTGATGGTCACATATGCAGAGTGCCTGAGCCAGATCACCTGTACTAGAATGGGGCTTATTAGTGAGTCTGAGAGGATGGGGACACAGCCTATGGCCTACTTATCTCAGGCAGACCTCATTTGTTAAGTACAAACCCTGATAGTTTATTAAACTCATAGAGAAGTTTTATGATTAGGAATAATCTCTGTTCAAGCCAATTTCTTCTTGAGCCTCATAACGAGACAAAGCAAAGGAATGTGAGGAAGCCACCCTCTGCATGGACCATTTTCCAACCTTGCTAGAAAGAGTGATGAACTAACTACCTTGTTCAAATGAAGGGATGACTTAACAACATTATAAGGAAATCATATTGATAAGTCAGAAAAGTAAGATATAAAAGGGGATGTTCTAGCTGGGCACTGATGGCTTTATGCCTGTAACCCTAGCTCCTAAGGAAGCAGAGATCAGGAAGATCTAGGTTCAGGCCTGGATCTGGGCAAACAGTTTAAGAGGTCCTATCTAGAAAAGGGATGTAACACAAAAAAGGGTTGGTGGAGTGGAGTGGCTCAAGAGATAGAGTGCCTGCTTAGCAAGTGTGAGGCCCTGAGTTCAAGTTCCAGTGCCACCAAAACAAACAGAAAAACAAAAAAAAGAAAAAACAAAAAAAACCTAAACAAGTTCTACTATGTACTTTTTACTTATTCTATATTCTCCAACTTCTATGAACAACTTTGTGTGTGTGTGTGTGTGTGTGCGCGCGCACGTGTGGATATAGTATTTGCTAGGTAGGTGCTCTACCACTTTGCCACCCATTTCATGAATACCTTTTAATTGGAAAAGGGGAAGGAAAGATAGTTGATTGGTTGTAACTTTAAACTTATGAGTTCATAATGGAACAGGATAAAAATGAATTTATCATTGTTGCTAGGGGCCAACTGATCATTTCTAAAACTTGCTCCCCATTCTGTCTTTCTGTTATTGTCTATACTACTGAAGGTCAAATAGTAGATGAAGGGACACTTATCCTTTCAGAAGTGTTTGGTCTAACAGATGAAGAAGGAATGATGATATAGCATGTTTTACAACCAACAGTGAAATAATAGCAATAGCTGTGGACACCACTAACGTGTACAATCTAGAATACAGCATCATCTATCTAATTTTGTTTTCTCTCCCCCCCCAAATTTGAACTTCAGGTGCAGCTGCCAAATTATAGGATATACAAAATATAGAATATATGTATGTATTAGAACAGATGAGCATGTTAAAATGACTCCTTGGGACGCAGTTAGCAATATCTAGACCATGAGAAAGCTATAGGCAACAGCAGTTTCTTCATAATTGTAAAGAAAAAAGATTGAAAGAGAATTTTAGATTTGGAAAGGCTTAAAAGATACATCAATGAGTCTCAGTGTACGGACCTTATTTGTATTCCTTTCCTGCTTGTAGCAAGTACAAACTGGCTTATAAGCCAGTGTAATCAGGAGGCTGAGTAGCGTGCTTGCTCGCTCGCTCTCCCTCTCTCTCTCTCTCTCTCTCTCTCTCTCTCTCTCTCTCTCTCTCTCTCTCTCTCTCTCTCTCTCTCTCTCTCTCTCTCTCTCTCTCTTTCTCCCCTGCCCTCTCTCTCTCTTCCTTTCTGTACTGGAGTTTGAACTCAGAGCCTCAGATTTGGTAAGCAGGCACTCTACTACTTGAGCCATGCCCCCAGCCTTTTTTGCTCTAGTTATTTTTCAGGTAGGATCTCATGATTTTTGCCTGGGCTGGCCTGGACCACAGTCCTATTTATGCCTCCCATGTAACTGGGATGACAGGCATGTGCCACCATGCCCAGGTTTTTTGTTGAAATGGAGTCTTGATAACTTTTGCCTGGTCTGGCCTTGAACTGCAATCCTCCCAATCTCTGCCTCCCAAGTAGCTGGGTTTACAGGTGTGTGTCATTGTACCCAGCCCAGAATCCTTTTAGAGGATTACTGGTATAGTGGCACATTTAGGTTTAATGTGTGCAGAGAAGGATCCTAGACTCTTCTCTGAAGAGTGACTTTGGAGAACTGTCATTGATGAGGCTGGGGAATTGTTGGGAGAACAGAAGTTCATGGTGGGGATGGAGAGTTTATATTCTCTCTAGTCTGTAATGTCGATTTTTCTCTCCTTCATAGAGATCATTGAAAAAAATAAGGGTGTAGGACTGGGGGCATGGCTGAAGTGGTAGAGCATTTGGCTAGGATGTGGGTGGTCCTGGATTTAATCTCTAGTACTGCACAAAAGGAAAGCTGAGATGATGCATGCTTGTAATTCCAGCACTTGGGAGGCCGAGGCAGGAAGATTACAAGTTCAAGGCTAGTTTGCTATGTAGCAAGACCCTGCCATCACAAAGAAGGGAAGTCTGAGAAACTGTCACACCTAAGAGAAGTCTATGGAGATGTGATGGCTAAATGTAGTGTGGGATGCGAGATGGGATCCTGGGACAGATAAAGGACAGGGGAAATCTGAACAAAGTGTGGACTTCAGTTAATAACAATGTGTTGGGCTAGTGGAGTGGCTCAACCGGTAGCATGCCTGCCTAGCACATCTGAGGTCCTGAGTTCAAACCCCAGCACCACCTAAAAACAAAAAAAAAACTATGTCAATGTTGGCTCATTAATTGTGACAAATGTACCTTACTAATAGATGACACTAATAATAGGAGAAAGTGAGGATAGGGCTCTGTGGAAACACTCATATCTTTGTGGTAATTCTGTATGAAACTGTCTAAAAAGTTCTAAAAAAGTGAAATTTAAAAACAGATGAAAGGTGCAATGCTTACTTAAAAAGACATTCAAAATATGGATAGAAATTGACAAGTAAAATTCATATAAGACAAATTGTATTAAAAAGTTTAAAATATGGGGAAACTAAATACGTAAGTAATAGCAGGAGAAAAATGCTAGAAGTTTCTATTATGAAGGTTGGAAGTCCCTCAGGAGAAGCTGTCTTCTCAGGGAAATAATCTTTATCTGTGACTTCTTGCTTTTGACAAGGAAACACTGGGGTCATGAGCCTGCCGTGTTTTCTTGGTGCCTCCTCGAGGCTTCACTGTTAGCCGTTTCCCCTTTCTCCTCTTTTCACCTCCTCCGCCATGCCCTATCCTTCTCAGTGGGAGAACCTTCTTAGGTTTGGAAGCATATACACCACACAGTACTGAGCGGGTCTGCTAGCAGATGAAAAGCAGCCTAGTTTGGGGAACAAAGATTCTACTAAGCAAGTCTCTGCACAGTTCTTTTATGTTATATATTCCCTAATGCCGGTAAAATTAATATAATTAGAGTATTCCTTATTTTTAGGTGCAAATATCCTTCGAGATTCAACAGGCAATGTCAAACTAGGAGATTTTGGGGCCAGCAAACGGCTTCAGACCATCTGTCTCTCAGGCACAGGAATGAAGTCTGTCACAGGCACACCATACTGGATGAGCCCTGAAGTCATCAGTGGAGAAGGTTATGGCAGAAAAGCAGATATCTGGTAGGTTTTGATGTGAGATTTGTTTGAAAACTTACCTGCCTTCCTAGTATTTTACACAGGTTTGAAATTACTGAACCAGATAAATGATTTTTTGTACTTTTGAAATAAGATAACAAATGATAAAGATTAGCACTTTAATTATGCTATGTTTGGGGCTTTTAATTGACTAAATACGTAATAGTATGTTTTCTGTTCTTCAAGAAGAATTTTGTCTTGCAAACCTCAGCATTACAAAGCTATCTTATTTCTCTGAAGAACTTTAAAAGTAATCTTCATTGTTAGTGTCTTAAATTCATTTAATCAATAATTACTTAATAATTTTAAGTTAGATAAAAAATATGGGCCTGGTGCTGGTGGCTCACACCTATAATCCGAGGTATTCAGGAGGCAGAGATCAGGAGGATTGAGGTTCAAAGCCAACCCCAGCAAATAGTTCCTGAGATCCTATCTCGAAAAAACCCATCACACACACACAAGAAAAGGGCTCCTGGAGTGGCTCAAGGTGTAGGCCCTGAGTTCAAACCCCAGTACAAAAAAATGGCCATTTCCTACTTCCCACCCAGGAAAATAAAAATTGTAATAGACTTTCATTTTTGGGACTTGAAAGGGAAACAGTTATTTATTTATTTATTTATTTATTTGATGGACTGGGGTTTGAATGCACAGCTTCACACTTGCAAAGTAGGCAGCTCTGCCACTTGAGCCATACCTTTGGTCTGTTTTGCTCTGGATATTTTGGAGTTAGGGTCTGTGGATCTATTTGCCCAAGCTGGCCTCAAACCATAATCCTCCTGACCTTAGCCTCTCAATAGCTAGGATTTTAGGAGTGAGCCACTGGTGGCCAGCTATCAAATTCTGCTGATTATATCTCATTTCATGTAATGCTGCTAATGCTCATATTCTTTGTAAGATGAAGACAAAAAATATTTTTAACATTAAGTTAAAATACTGTAGAGCTGGGCACTGGTGGTTCACGTCTGTAATCCTTGCTACTCAGGAGGCAGAGCTCAGGAGGATCCCGGTTAGAAGCCAGCCCCAACAAAAATACTTCATGAGACCCTATCTCAAAAAAAATCCCATCATAAATAAGGGCTGGTATAGTGGCTCAAGGTTTAGGCCCTGAGTTATACCCCAGTACCACAAAAAAAAAAAAAAGAATACAAAAACAATAAAATGAATCATGTTCTTTGCCTAGCCTTATAGGTTTTGATAGTAATTAAGTTATATATTGTTATTTATTTATTTTTTGAGACAGTGTCTTTTTACATTATCTAGGCTCACCTTGAACTCACTGTGTAGCCCAGGCTGGCCTCAAACTTGAGATCCTCCTGCCTCAGCTGATTTATAGACATGTGACATACCATGGCCAGTTAGTGATTTTTATGTTTAAATGATAGTTTTATGTAATTATAACCTTAAAAAAATTACAGCCTTTTAGTGAAACTTCAAATTTGAAGTTAAGTCATATTTAAATGTATGTGGATTTCATTCCTGATTCTCATGTTTCTAGCTAACAAGCTTTCTTTCCTGATTGCTTATGTAACGTATTCCTTTTTATTTCTTTGTAGGAGTGTAGCATGTACTGTAGTAGAAATGCTAACTGAAAAGCCACCTTGGGCTGAATTTGAAGCAATGGCTGCCATCTTTAAGATTGCCACTCAGCCAACAAACCCAAAGCTGCCACCTCATGTCTCAGATTATACTCGAGACTTCCTCAAAAGGATTTTTGTAGAGGCCAAACTGAGGCCGTCGGCTGATGAGCTCCTACGGCACACGTTTGTGCACTATCACTAGCAGCCGGTAACCGCTCCTGTGCCACCACCCAGCTCACACCTGTTGACTCACCTTCTCTCTGACTGCACTTTCCTTCTATAAAAAAGAGAGATGGGGACAAAAAGACAAGAGGGAAAGTATTTCTCTTGATTCTTGTTTAAATTTGTTTAATAATAATAGTAACATAAATTTTTTATATTTAATCTTTTTTTTCCCTTACAAGAACTTGAAACTTCCTTTTATTTTTTTCTTTTTTAATTTTTATAATGTACTGATGTGGTTCAGAGAGATAAAGCACTTTAGTACATAGTCACTCTTTTTAGTACAAACAAATCATTTGGAATACATAAAGATTGTAGTGTCTTTCCCTATATCACTGACATATTGGTGGTGACAGGGAGACATGGAAGATAAGGAGAAGAAAATGATGTACAATTTGTAGTTTTTAGTGATAGTATTTAAAATAGATCCTCATTTATAGAGTTGAGCCCTAAACTTGAGTTTAGGGTAGGTACTTAACTTAAAGAATATAGGTTCCTCCTTGTATCTGTATTCTTTAGATCCTAACCTCTGTCTACCAAGCTTTTTGCTCAGTAGGAATCTTGATAGAAGATACAGATCTCTAAGAAGTATGTTTATTTTTAATCCTAATCAGTATAATATCAACTACACTATAACAGATCCATATTACTGGAATCTATAAACCTTGAGGGCTAGCTTTCTGCTTTAAAAAAAAAAGTATTTTATTTAAAAGCAGATAGGGGAAGTCAGTGAGTAAATCCAACTAAAAGATAAAAGATTGCTCTCATTAAATGTATGAGCAGAAGAGACCACATTTGCCAATAAATAGAAATTAAGAAAAAAAAAATCCAAGGGTTGTTTACTGTACTTTAAACTATGTTCTTTACTTGAGGGGGAAGCACCAAAATTAAGGGAATTGAGAAATAACAAAAATCATGCATACTATCTTTTTATTTGTAGCCCCTTCTTTCTCATAAGTAACAGTCTTCAGGAACTAAGAGTTTAGTCATGGGTCCCCCATGTGTTAAAGTCAGTGTCTTGAGATGAAACCCTTGATCTTGGGACCTCAGAATACTAAAGCACCTCAGAAAAACAGACACCATGTGATATAGTGAGATTGTCAGTGGTGGCTTGGGAATTTCACTTCACTTGGCATTTGGCAATACCTGAAGACACTTTCGCTTGTCATAGCTAGGAAAATACTGCTGGTACCTTAGTGGGCAGAGGCCAGGAAGCTGCTTTATATCACAAAGGATGGCACTCCCAAAGAATTCTCCTGCCTCAAATGTCAAAAGTGCCTCCGTTGAGAAACCCTGATACAAAGGCCAGTCCCAGTTGTAAACAGAAAGCAGCCACTTACAAAGCAGTAAATGCAAAAAAAGCATATATTTGAGAGAGAAAATATGTACTGCAATATGAAGGTTTCATAAGAGCAGGCACCACTACTTCAAGTAAGGGGCGAATAATTTCAACAAACAGCAAATAGCAGTCACTCCCTTTCTTGCCAGCTGCAATTGCACCCACATCAGTAACTCTTCCATTTTAGAAACAAGATGAATTTGAACACTGAGCCTTTTGAACTCAGCATCTATATCTGTTCTTTCCTTAAAAGTCAGTTCATAATTATGGGCAGAGAAAAGCATATGAAAACAAAGTGTTTACTACCAGCAAGAAGGTTAAATCACTGCCACGTATTTCCAATATGAGGTATCTACTAAGAGCAAGGACATTAAATGGAAAAAGACAGCGGAGGAAGATCCCGCTATCTCTAATGCATTTGTGCTACTGAAAAAGATGAGGGCATTAGTTATTTGGCTACTTGCAGATATTTCAACATATTAAAGCCAAGTGCTAAGTACTTTACTTTTAAAGGTCTAGAAGATAATAGTTCCAGGAGGCCCTAAACGTGATGCCTTTCATGGGATTCATAAGGGACTAGGGTTTGATTTTTTTGCCACAAAGTGTGCTTATTTAGGGATTCTTAAAGTACTTTGTTTCTGAAGTTAGGTAGATCTGGGTATACCATATCAAGGTTCTTCCTACCTGGCATTCCCTGTAAGAATATTTGAAATTCCACTAACTAGTCTGAAAGTCAAACCATAAAATTAGTTAATGTTTCTCCCATACTCTGTAAAGAAGAACAAGAATTTGGTCCCTTCTGCCTTGGTAAATCTTGTACTAGAAATATAATCTCTTAAGTGTGTGGATCTATTATAATTTCTTCATCTTTTATGAGTGAGGGCTTCTTTTCTACTTGAGCAAGATCATGGTGTCTAGACCAGGGGGGTTTTCCTTTTGTTTCTTTGTCTTGTGTGGTTGTGATTTCCCTTTGACTCAGTTTTGGTCTGTCAGGGTAACCAGCAGTGCAGAATATGAGGCAAATGCTCTTCAGAGAGAAATTTGGAGAGACTATGGGATTCAAAGCAAAATTGTTCCCTTTTTTCGGTCTTCTCCTCCTTTTCTAAATGCTGTGGACAACAAAGGCACCTGAAAAGAAACTACTACTTTAACACTGCTGCAGAACACCTTTGCATTGCTGAAAATATTACTAGCTACAGGAAAGTAATGTTCTTTATGTCAAGACTTAAAAATAGACTTAATAGTTTACAGAGTTATTATATAAAATGTGATGTGAATTTATTTCAAACAAGTTGTGAAGGTACCAAAAAAATCACAATAAAAGTTAATATATATAAAATCTTCTAGAACAAAAAAAGCTTGAAGCAGGGGTGGGGGCATGAAAAGACCAAAAGTAAACTTAAAAAAAGAAACTTTTTGAAAACAAGCACTATTATGAGAGGAAGTTAAATATTACACTCCATTTTTTTCTTCTTTCTAATAACCGTATGGATTAACAAATGAAATTTGAATTTTTTAAGATGACTCTTAAGTGTATTTTGTTTTTTAAATGCACAACCAATTCTTCTATACTGTAACATTTCTTTGCTAAGGCTGAAAAATGGCCAGACTGCTGACTTTGTGCCTTTAAAATGCATTCTGCTTTGACAGTAGCAGACTTTTTGGTGCTGGGGGGAGATTCACTAGCAGTCTTATATGTGCTTTTTTAGCAAATAATCTTTCTACGTAGGCCTTGAGAGATTCAAAGAGGCATGACTTAGGATTGGACCAAATAGAAGACCTTTTATGTTTGTTGCAAAGTGTGTCAAATAAAAGGATTGGAAAATATTACAAGGATTAATGGAAATTTTCATGGATTAGTAATTCTTTAAAATGTATTTAAATGTATACAGACTTTGAAAATTTCAGAATGAATATCTTGAAAATTTTCTGCACTTTTCCTTCTTTACAAAACATGTTTCTAACTTAAAAAATGACTAAGACTATTGCCTTAGAAAGTTTTAAAAGGCGGTTACCTTTACATATTGTGTATGAGAGACTGAATATTAATGCACATGCTGAACTAACTATAAAAGAGAAATTAAAATTTTCATACTAGAATAAATTGAATTGGCTTTCATTTGAGGGTCTTTATTCCCAATAGAAGCTATGTTAAAAGGGTGAAAGTACTTCTTTAGAATAGATTTCTGTGGCTAAGCTCTGACATAGGTCAGGTCTGATCTGTACTGTTTGTGAGATGGAGTTGTTATAAGATATGAGAAATCACTAAGAAAATAAAATCAAATTGGAACAGTTTGGCAGGACAACCAAGCTAGAGACAGACTCCTTGTCCCATGGCAGAGTTCTGTGTCAGCGATTTCATTTGGGATCTAGAAACCAATAGCTTGATAAAAGATTTGATATGTAATTATCAGAATACAAGTCTATCCATTTTCTTTAAAACAGTGTGAATAGCTTTCATTTCCTTATTCAATAATTGTTACTTACTATGTTAGATGCTAAATTAAAATCCTTGAGGAGGTCACAGTCTAGGAGGAAGATGAGCAGTTAGTTACTTTGTGGCATACCCTAAGTCAGAGTTCAGCAGTGATATTTTAAAATGTTATGTTTCCTAATGAAATAAGGAGAAAGCATTTTTGGGTAATCATTGACTGTTATAAACTGAAAAGTCATTAACAACAGGGATTAGAATAAAAGTATCCCCAAGTTGTAGGGACCCGCACTGCAGGTCAGATAGCCTCTCTCTCAGGACCCCATCTTACTACAAAACACAGCCTCTACTCAAATAGTCCCAAGTAATAGGGACCTTTTATCTACAATACAGTGTTTTTTTCCAGCTACTTCTTTTAAGAGAAAAAATATTTTCCTTTGGTTTAAATTGTGGAAATATCTAAAACATTTGCTAGAAATAGAACTCTAGAGACCATATTGTTTTTATTGTTTGGCATTTGTTTTAAATGTCATGTTCATATTTATTTGAATTTTTAAATTACTTAAATATTAAGGAAAAGCAATTGTTAATTTTTTGTAGTGCCTTTTTCTCTGTATGCCTTAATTTTATTTTATATTACTAATTCTTGTTACCCAACACAATGAAGATTTTTCCAAAATCTGTAGGCTTCAAGAGTTCATTTGGCCTTAGACTGCGTATTGGCCCTTAAATGTTTCTTAATGCCTGCTTACTCCTCCTATTCTTTTCTACCTCTTTTTTTTTTTAAATGTTAGAAGAGAAACATTAGCATTTGTCTGTGGTAGAGTATTTTTTCCACTAGACATGAATTCCCAAAATAAGTATAGAAAGAGGTATTCTCATTCTAAGGAGACATTACATAGCAAATTGTTTTCTGGGTTGCTACTTGATTTTCAATTACATTGGGATTGTTCAAGTTCTTGGTAATACAGTGGTTCTGTTATGATGTTCATAGCAGAGCCACAGTGGTTGTTTTTGCCCTAAAATGTTCATTTAAATGATTTATGTGTGTTGAGGCAATGAGATGTAGAACAATGAGCAAGAAATCCAGGGATAGTGAATTCTAATCCTTAGTCTTTAACATTTGATTAATACTCTAGTTTACTCTTCTGTGAATTGTGTGTGTTTGGGGGGTGGGGCTGTTAGGAATTGGAGTAGGTGGGAAGGAGGAAAGGAGGAAAGGTATGAATGTTCAATTAGATCAGTCTCTCTTCTTAGAGGAACAACTCAGAAAGGTATGACCTACTGACAATGGATGAAAGTAATCATCCTAAGTAGGAACGCCAATAATTTTCCATTAAGTAGCTAGTACAAAGGATTGTTTAATAAAGGTATTTATTGTAAATTGCCAAGTTCTTGGTTGCTAAAAGTAGACTAAAATTCAATTTGTGTGTTTGTGTGTAGAATAATGAGCTATATAATTATTAAACAGAAAGTAATTGATCTTAGATAGTTCTTCATGAACTTTTGGAATAGAAATTCTGCCAGACATTAGCTAAACAAGCTTCCTTGGCTTACCAAGTATTCAAAAGAAAATTCTTTTTATACCTCTTTTTTTGGTTGGTAGGGAAGGTGTGCTGTGAAGCCACTGTTCCTACTTCATAGTCATCTTTAGCATTGCTTTGACCTCTGTCTGCTATGATCTGGACAGGATTCCCTAACAGGTGTGGGACGTATCAGACCACCTATCTCTTATTCTCACCTTTCAGAGCTGTAGATAGATGGTAAAGAGCTCTCGAGAGGAACCTAGAGATTTCTTTTTGCAGAGTTAGTGAGGGTGGTCAAGGTTGAACTTCGGGGTAGGCAAGGGAGGAATCATAGTTATAATAAAGAAAAGAATAAATTGTATCCATTGCCTATATACAGTCTGTTATACAATTCATATTTTTCATACTTGTGCATTTTAATTGACAGTCATACGGTATTTTTGTCAATAATAGCAAAGGCATTAAACCAGTGAATGCTATTAGTCCCTCTGCCTGATGACTTCTTGTTTGTATCACAGTGTGTATTATCAGAATCACTTTAAACCAAAGCTTTTATATTCCCTGCACCACACATAGCCAAAATGAGTAGCCCTGTTACATCTGCCCACTTGTAAGCTAATAGTGTACAAATAATAAAACAGATACTAGTAGAATTTATATCCCCATCTATCCTTCAAGGACAAGGACAGGTGCTCAGTGTCTGCATTTAGACATGCAGAATTTACTTCAACTATTGTGGAGCTACATAGACATTACAAACTTTAGCTTGTACACGTGCCAATCTTACTAACGTCACTTCACCATTGATGCATGTAGATAGGTGTAGAAGTCTGATGCCTGGGGTTGGTGGCGTATTTTCTTCCTAGTGTCTTAACATTTACAAGCTTATGTTTGACTTGAGGGGCATTTTAGCAGTGCTGTGAAGAAATATAGGCTATGGACTGATGTCTGCTTGTGCCATAGACATTTTGGAACATAAGGAAGTGTCTGTTCTTTAGTGTGTGTGCAGAATTTGTCCCCAGTTAAGGAGATCTGAATCTCTTAATGCCAATTGAGAAGAGTAAAGTTTATGACTATCCTGAAAAGCACTTTTTTGTGTTATTTATATATTTGTAGAACTTCTTTTTAGAAATCGTATGTAACTAGTAATGACTTTAGCTTAGATTACTTAGCAGGGAGAGATGAGTAATTACCATCTTAAACTTTATTAGGTACTTAGATAGACTCCAGAATGGATTCGACATATTCTCATTTTTCCAAAGACTTTCCCACCTGGAATAAGGAAAGAGGACAAGGAGAAACATTTGAGCTGAAAAGGCTTATGGGCAAAGAAGGTGGGCCAAACCCTTGCAATATACCCTTTTTAATTAAAAGTACAGTGGCTAGGAATAAGAATACTTCTTTAAACACAAGTAATTGTTTTAATACAATTTTAATTAGTAAAGGTTTACATTTTTTCTATTACTGTTGGTTTTAAAATTTGCTACCCTGCATTCTGAAATATTATAAAAAATTAGTACCAAAAATACTTTTAATGTCTGGACATCTCATACATTTCACATGGTTCTTTTTATTCATTGTAAATAAAAGTAAACTTGGATAAATTTGAAAATAAACTCTAATTGTTGCAAGTTATGAGTATTAATTTGTAAATTTACCCTTTGACTTAATGTACATTTTTTAATGTAGACATTAAATTCTCTATATTTAACCTATTATTTTCTCAAATAAATGTTTTTAATCTCAGTTGAATGCTGGGCAGTTTATAATTATGTACAAAGATTTTTTTGTTTCCTATCAAGGTTGACTTTTTTGCACATTTTTAGAGATGTTTAATTTGTACACTGATTTACTACTCTGACCAATAATTGTTGAGTGTATGAGCATCATGAATGCGTGCATTGAACTACTGTCTGTGTCTCTGTGTGTGAACTTCTTTCAAGATGTAGCCATCAGTTACTGCACTGCTAAGACTGACTTAAATGGACCTTCTTGCTTTTACAAAGTATACTTGTCTATGGTTCTATCTTTATTGAAGAACTCAGGAGTTCAACATTACTTTCTAATTTTATAATGTATTCTAAAATTCATTACTAAGTTGAAAGTATGCTTTGTAACTCTGTATCAGGGGATGTGTGTGTGTAGATGTCTTTTTCTGTTGATAGGCATATGTATATATCCCAGTAAATTCTTATTTTCATTTCATTTTTACATTTTATGAACTTGTTTTATAAGGGTACTATTTAGTTAGGATAATTAAATATATATAAAAGCTTTCTGAGAGATTATTTACTATATGAATATATTTTCAGCTGGCTGATCAAAAATATTTTTTTAATTTTGTTTTTAACCATTCAAGATGTATTAGTATTTCCAGAATTGGATGCAAATTTTACATAAAGCTCAGTTCAATTACTCTTGCAAGGAAAAACATTGAATTCTCTTTTGACAATTCTGTGAAATTCAAATAAAAAAATAGGTTTTAGGTGGTAGCAAAAACATACTATCCACTAACATGGTCTTTGAATTCTCAGAGCTATGAAAAAATTTGAGAAACTAAATTATTTTGAAGAGATGTCATAATTTTCATATCTCCAGTTGCTGTAGGCCTGTTCTGTTGTTTTTGAATATTTTCATTATTTTACCCCCAAAAGACTTTTCTATTATTATCTTTTCCCTTACTGGGCACTGTCAGACTGGGTTTATAAAACAATACATTGGCATATTGTGATTCTCTGTAATTGACTATAAAATTGGGTTAGAAATGTCCAAACATACATTGCTGTGTCTTTATTACCGTACTGTGTGTTTTAAAAATAACTGGCAGAAAAATAATTGGAAATTAGGTTTCCAATCTGATGTTACTGTATTTAAAGAAAACTTTGTTTTTAATATGCAGTACCATGTAAAATTACTTGTGTTAGGAGTAAAGTCCACTGTTGAGGTTGAATGTCATGTCACTACGCTTTTTAAGAGGAACCATGTGATTAGAACATGCCAGAAGCCAGATACAGTGTGCTGTGTGCCACACATCATGCACATTTTGAGTTTGTGTTGTTTGTTCAAAATTGTGCTTGTAAAAATGTATAAAATTTCTTGAGTTTTATAATTTCTATGTACCTGTTTTTTCCTGCTGGTAAATAGCTTTTTTTTTTTTAAATCTAATATAAAAAACCCCATGTTTATATTTTGTTAGTGATCAATGATTTTGTTTATATGGAAATTTGTATATTGTTGGCACACATCTTTGTTTAGACTTACCATGCATGAAGGCCTGCAATAAGTAGCACAATGAAAATTGCTTTTTCTTACATGTTCATTTTTTTGCAAAGGTAGTGGTGCAAAGGCTTACTATAAGTAACCTTCTGGACTATGGAATGAATATAAATGGATGACACTTTGAGTGTTAATAAAGCTGATATTTATTTCCACTGTGATTGGTTGTCTTGGACGGTATGTTCACGGATGTGTCTCCTCTTGCTTGAGTTGATTACTTTCTAGGAAAAGAAAGCCCATACTAACATTGAAACTGAACTGAATCTTCTCAGTATCTAAGCCTAGAGTGTTGCACCCAGCTTAATCTAGTGTATCTCTGTCTGAACATCATGACTGCCCACATGAAACTTAGTGGTGACTGAACAAACAAAAACCTACTGTCTTACCTACTGAGTATGAGAAATGGTCTCACACAGTGTGGAGATAAGTTCATACTTTCATATGGAGGGCGACTCAATGCAAACCAAAACCTAGGAATCTTGTATGTCTTCTGACTCAACAATTTTATAATACAGGGATCAATCCTGTGGAAATGATTGTGAATGTGGTAAGATACACATATAAAAGCCCCAATTGAAACTAGATGTCCAACTGATAGGGGTTATCATAACAAAGTATCACAAACCGGATGGCTTATAACAACAGAGATTGATCCTCTCACAGTTTTGGGTTCTTGAAGTCTGAAGTCAAGGTGTTCACTTGGCCATGCTCCTAAAGCTGATAGGGGATCTTCCCTTGCCTCTTCCAACTTCTAGTAG